ACACCAGTACAAGGTTAACTTGGACAAATGCGAGTTTGGTTGCACCAAGATCTTGTACTTGAGTCATGAAATCTCAGCAGATGGATTGAGGCCGGAAGATGCCAAGGTGGCCAGCATACGTGACTGGCCCAGACCTCGGACAGTTACTGAGGTCATATCGTTTCTGGGGATGACGGGCTATTATCGTCCGTTTGTGAAGAACTATAGTACTATAGCTTCCCCATTAACAAATCCAACTCGACTTGACACCCCTTGGGAGTGGATTGAAGAGTGTGAAGCAAGCTTCAAGAAATTGAAGTATGATCTGACACACTATGAAGTTTTCAAACTTCCTGATCCTGACAAGCCGTTTGTTGTGACCACAGACGCCAGCCAATATGGCATAGGCGCGGTCCTTGCGCAACAGGAGGGGCCAAAGTTGAGACGGATTGAGTACATGAGTAAAAAATGCCTTCTCAAAAGTTAGCTAAGTCTACTTATGAGAGAGAGCTCTACGCCCTGTACAGAGCGCTAGTTCATTGGAGACACTACCTCCTAGGAAGATTCTTCTATGTGAGGTCTGACCATGAGACTTTGCGCTGGATTAAGACACAGCCTGTGTTGTCGGACGCACTCAAGAGATGGATTCAAGTGACAGACATGTATGACTATCAACTTGACCCTATCAAGGGTACGTACAACAAGGTGGCTGATGCGCTATCAAGAAGGGCAGATTATCTGGCCGCGCTAGTCACTGAGTTTGGCATATCTGACGAACTCACTCGATCGCTGGTGGAAGCCTATCAGGGAGATCCAGTTATGTCAGAGATCATCCGTAGATTCCAAGCAAAGGACAAAAATACTTTGGACGAATTTACGATGGTAGATGGCTTTCTGTTTCTTGAGAAGGCAGGGAATAAAAGACTATGTGTTGCTAATAGTGAGTCTTTGCGTAGTTTATTTTTAGGAGAATGTCATGATGCAACTGGTCATTTTGGCTATAGAAAGACATCAGCGAACTTAGTGCAGAGATTTTGGTGGCCTTCTATGTTGGAAGATGCAAAACGTTATGTTGAAACCTGCCAGGTTTGTCAAAGGGGCAAACCAAGGACTCAGGCTCCGCTTGGGTTGATCAAACCCTTGCCGATCCTTTAAGGACCAGGCCAGAGTGTGTCCATGGATTTCATGGATACCCTTGTGACCAACAGGTCAGGAAAGAGACACATCTTTGTCATAGTGGACCGTTTTACCAAGTACGCCAGACTGATCGCTATGCCTGAAACTGCTAAAACTGACTTCGTCATCAAACTTTTCATGGATAACTGGGTAAGAGACTTCGGTCTACCTACGTCTATTGTTAGTGATAGGGATGTCAGATTCACGAGCGAACTGTGGCAGTCTACTGCTGAACAAATGGGCACAAAACTCCAAATGACTTCAGGAAATCATCCTGAGTCAAATGGGCAAGCGGAACAAATGAACCGGGTAGTACAGCAATTGCTTAGGCACTATATCAAGCCAAGTCAAGACGACTGGGACGAGAAACTACCTCTCGTTGCCAGCCTGTACAACAACGCTGTGCATAGTACTACCGGCATGACTCCCAACCAACTGCATCTTGGTTGGAAGCCTCGAACCGCCCTTGACTGTCTGTTACCAGAAAGAGAACCCACTGCAGCACCCGGCAGCATAGAGTTTGCTGTCAAGTATGAACAGATGCTGCAGCAGGCCGTTGAACACATTAGGAACTCTCAAGAAGCAATGATTGCATCTGAGAATAGACATAGACGGCCCTCTCAACTTTCAGGTGGGCGAGAGTGTTTGGATTAAGGCTGCTGAGCTTGGTCAGGAGTTAGGCATATCCCGCAAGCTAATACCACAGTTCTTTGGGCCCTGGGAGATCTTAGACATTGTAGGAGATCAACCAGACGGTCCTTCATATGTGATTCACATCCCACCTCACTTGTGTACCTACCCTGTGTTCTATGCCTCTAAGTTAGCACCTTTCGCTGCTACTGAGCAGTTCCCTTCCAGAAGATCAATGCTGCCCCCAACCATGGATGGCGAAGTGGACATTGACCAGATCGTCGAGCATCGAGTGATCAGGCAGAGGGCGACCTCCTAAACCAAGAATGCAGTATCGTGTGAGCTTCAGACATCATCTGGATCCGAAAGAAGACCGGTGGTTCACACGAGAAGAACTCATGAGAACAGCACCTCAAGTGATTGCAGGCTATGAAAGAAAACTCAAGGGGAAGATGCCTGCAGAATAAGAGACTTCTCATAGGACTCACAAAGTAGAGGAGGAGGTAATGCGGGGATCAGGGTCCTCGGTAGGCCTATGGGGCCCTGCTTGCAGCATTATCCGCCCTAAGTGAAGGCGGAGGTGCCCGCGCTAAGTGAAGGCGGGCCTGGCTTTTTGCAAAAGGCCCTCGACTGTCAATTTCATATTTGGGGTCCAGGCAGTTGCGACGCGCCAGTTGGTTGAGAGAAACACAGGCCGAGCAACAAAGACATTTCCACGGCCCTC